AACTGATACTCAGCCAACTATTTCGGTGATCGAAAAAGTCTAGGTCCTGTGAATACGTTATTTCTTTAAAAAATATACTTAAATTATGTTTCAGTATGTTTCAGGTTGATAATTGGACATGGATCAGGTCACACCTTCTATCATATGTCATGGATTTGTTAAAAGTATCCTCCAAATATAACAGGACTGAAACAGCAACAGGATTAGTCGGGATTGGATTCCACTTCTAGTGACGAACCTCTACTAACAGAGCTAGTAGGTGGTCACGAATCGATCCGAAACAAATATAGTGCGTACTACTATATCCTGATCTCCGCATATCATATTGACATCATTTATGTGAAGTAATGTCATAATTTGGTTATAATCTCATTATATTTCCAGACTCTATATATCGGCGATCCTGTTAGCGCAAACTGAGATTAACTGGTGATAAACGTCAGTGTAACGGATGTTTGTGATAGTATAACCTACCACCGCTGTACCCAATTTAGATTTACTTCATATTTCAAAATTCGTCTCTAGTTCGAATTTGTAATATTATGTACAAGAGACGCTTGTAATGGATCTTTTTTTTTTTAACTTGTGAGTCTTTTTGTTCTTGTCTTTCTGTTTTGTGTTGTTGTTTCGTCGTTTTTCACATTTACAATCGTTGTTGTCGCTTCGATATGTAGTTTTTATTTACTTTAAATCTATATCTTAACGATATACTATTTTCGTACTAAGGTGATTCACTCAGTAAATTATTCTTATTCCCGTAACTATAACAAAATCCAATAGCTTAACTCTACACCAACATATGGAATGCCAAATTATCACATATTTAATTAATTGCACCTATCTTCAATTAAATTGTACCTATCTTCAACTATTTAAAGTCAATTGATAATAGGTTCAATTCAATCGAAGATAGGCAATCTTCAATTGAATTGAACATATCTTAAATTGATTTGAACATATCTTAAATTGAATTGTACCTGTCTTCAACTATTTGAAGATAGGTGCAATTACTTGAATATGTGTTAATTTAGCGTTCCATATATATATATATGTGATGCCAAACTAACATATCTTCAAATAATTGAAGATAGGTACAAATAATTGAAGATAGGTTCAAGTAATTGAAGATAGAAACAATTAATTGAAGACAAGTTTATTTCAATTGCAGATAGGTTCTATTCAATTCAGGATATGTTGTATTTGCTCCTATAGGTTCAATTCATTTGTACCTGGGTTCAATTCAATTGAAGATAGTTTCTATTCAATTTGGGATAGACATAATTAATTGTACCAACTTCAATTAATTGTACTTATTTTCAATGGAATTGAACCTGTCTTGAATCAATTGTACCTATCTTCAATTATTTGAAGATAGTCCAATTAATTGAATATATGTTGATTAATGCGTTCCATACAAACAGGGCCAAAATACAATAATCGTGATATCTGTTAAATCATTTGCTATTTAGGACGTTGCTAAATTAATCCAAATCTACTTGTGATTCTTAAAAAAACTATGAATTCACAGAATCATATATAAAGCGGTTGTTGCCTAACCCAAAAATGATTGGTGTGAAATTATCAAATATATCGCTAATATAACAGATAAGACATGTATATAATAAGACCTACTATATTTAAGTGAACACGTATGTTTAGTCCAGGTCTACAAATTACCTCCTGGAATGGCAAGTGTATTCTGGGTCACGTGTCGTGCGAATTAATAAATAAATAAAACTGTAAACTAATTACCTTAATATTCGAGCTGGGTTTGAATAAATTCAAAAGAAAACTAAGGTGTTTCCTCACTAGAGAACAGATTAAAACAAAGTTACAGGGAATTTTAAAATCAAATCATGTACACCTAGCTAATAAACGAAATTCCCTAACCACAATTAAACGTTTGTTTGTAGTTAATGCATTACTGTCAATGAGGTGGTATATCTCCTTCTGTAGGTGTCAGTTTTATTGGCTAACATGGAATACACAAGGACAGATAGGGTGGGAAAAACGTATGTATAAATTAACGCCGTTTGGAAAACGACACTGTAGTTCAAGGAGCAAGAAATCTGAATGCCAGCATATCCATTTAAGGATCTACATTGTGTGTTGACTAACTTTTCATTCACACTCCAGACGCACCCTACTTGGCGAAAGGTCGGCATACATACAAAACTTTACATAATTTATAAAGACAAGTCAGCTGTTCTTATGCCAAATTATTCTGTATCGTAAATGATAAATGTATAAAGATATATATAAATAAATATATGCCCGGTGAATGTTTATTCTAGTAGGCAACATTAAATCGGTTTATTACATACCCAGAAAATATCGAAGAATTCTTCATACGAAGAATCTGTTATTATTGGTGTTTATCATTGTGGTATTTGTCAATGGTATGGTGACTAACACACAAAAAGTCGATGTTATCTACATCAGAGGATAAAAATGGGACGTGATGAATAAATGTATGAACAAAAAAACCCACCAAAATACTTAAAACTAAAAGAAAAGGATATTCTACATGTTTCCCTATACCAATCCACAAAGGTTATAGTCTGTAAAGCTACCCAACAGACTTTAATCGATAGACATAAATACAAAGCAGGGTCAGCATTGGCTGACTGGCGCTGATTGGTCAATTCAATCAGCTAATAGTTGGACAGGTAACAATTTCGGAATTCCTCTGTTTGTTTTATATTAAAATTTTGTATGAAATGAAGCGTTTGTAATCATTTTAAAGTTTTCAACTTGAGGGTAATTTCTGATGTACAGAAATGATAAAATTTACTTCAGTTTACTACTGATACCCGATTTCAAATAACCAAAATATGTGTCCGATTTATCACAGTTATATATTGTTTAATGAGCATATGAGATAAATAATACACTTTGTAGGTACTATCCTAGCCCAATTTAAATCTAACTTTTGTTAAATAGTCATTATAGACGCGTTTTTTTTATTTATTTATTTATTTTTTTTATCTGAAATCGAGGTAGGTTGGTGATATGATGTACTACGTGTAAAATTGATTTATTATCCATTACGGTTTTTCCTTGTCGTGGATGAAAAACATGTTATATCCTTTGACGTTGAAAAGCAGTACTGGTGGCAAATTGCCCACCCTTAAAAATAAAATTGGAAAGTAAAAGGAAAAATAGAAAAAGCAAAATGTTTTCAGAGGCGCAGGGTGCACACGCTTATTGACGGCTCAGTGAACAGATATGGAAATGAAAGTAAACCATAATGTCAGGTAAGATCGAGAGGCATCAAAATGTGTTTACAATCTTATATTAGATCTATATACCTGTGTCAAAGGTCTACTGGTGCTTTCGAAGCGTGAACCCTAGCTAGGTATTCCTAAACAAATATTTAACTTAGGCGGACTTACAAATCGGTACTTTTTAAATCACGTCGCATTATGAAGATAATTGAGAAAGAAAATTCATGATAATTTCTGAGCTTATGACATGGTTTTGATGAAAAGGGCAGTATTTTTCACCAATAACGTATATTGACTAACATTGATAGCACGGGATCACCTTTATACATATATGGCCTGAAAGGAGACTGTGCTATCAAAGGAAGGGCTAGTATGGCGGAAATATCACATTATTTGATGTGGTTTTTCACTTCAATGGTGGCTGTCAAATACACTCGTCATTATTAGAACACTTTGCGGTTATTCGGGTCTTCAGTGATGGTAAACAGCTGTATGTATATAAGCTTCTACATTAAAAAACGGGTCGCATTTAAAAAAAATCTAGACATTTATACATCAAAACATATATAGAGTGACGAAATTAAGTACGATAATCTCTTAGGTGTTCTACAGGTAAAACATACGTGCAGGTGTGTTTTTAAGTGTATACTGTGGCGCATATTCTTTCTTTAAACTACATGCATTAGGAAAATATAAAATATTTGTTATTCAGAACTTTTGCGTTTGTACTTCTTCAAACATGTTCCCTTTTTGACTTTCAAGCATACTTTATGGTACAGCCAATTATAATGAATTTCATATTTTATAATACAGCCAATAACTTTTGATTACATTGAGCCAATCGCATTGAATTACATGCTGTATCGTTCAGTCAATGACATTTGATTACATATACAGTGTATAATGATACAGCCAATTACATTGAATTACATATTTTATCGTTCAGCCAACTAAACTGAATTCCATATTTTATTGTTCAGGCATTTACATTGAAGGACATATTTTATCGTTTAGATAATTAAATTGAATTTCATATTTTACCGTTCAGCCATTCTCATTAAGTTATATATTTTATCATTCAGCCAATCAAATTGAATTCCATAATTTATGGTTCAACCATTTACATTGAATTACATATTGTATCGTTCAGCCAATTGAATTGAGTTCCATATTTTATCGTTCAGCCTTTCACTTTGAATAACGTTAAGGTTCATACGACATTCTTCAATACACCAAACATAACAGCGAGAAACGAGGAAATCTTAATTATAGATTCATTACCAAACAATCCGACCTTTCGTAACCAAACAAATGAACTAGTGTACAACAATCCTGATTTATTTATTACAAAACATACCTAGAATTCACGTGTCGTCTTTAAATGAGCTAAGGAGACTAATAAATATCCTTTTAAAAGTCATGCTCGCACATCTCTGATCACCCAGTATGTGATGATGTACCGGGGATCTTGCTCAGAGGGTAAATGTTAACGATATTCGGCAAGATGATTTTCAATATCCGAACCAATATAGTCTTATTAAAAGTGAAGAACTTTACCTTTTGTTGTCACAAAAAGTTGATGCGTTATCTTTTGTGGAATCTTTTTAAACATTTAGCTAAAGAAGACTGGCAACTTTTGAATAATGTTGATTCTTCGAGGTAGGATAAAGGTGATTCATTTCTACAATAACGTTTGTGTTCATATGCCAATGGTGTTGAATGTCGTACCTTTCAAAAGAAATTCAACAAATTACAAAACACTGTGTATGCGTTAAACAGTTTTAATAATAACAAAGAAGGACATATTCTGGCCAAGGATTTCAAAAGTTTCTTTGAATGTGGCAGTTAACAACAACATTGTAGGTACTCAAACAGTATCTACGATAACACTGTGATTTGGCATTAACAAAAAGTTTCAAAATCCTTGGGTCCTTTTCCATATTCAGCGTTCATAGAACAGTCCTTACAACAACAAGAATGGCAACGAAACCAACAATGAATCCTTTATGTTTTATAATCATAGACAATTATGCTCATTCTTCACAATGAGACTGTCGAAAAATCCTATTGATATCTACGTATCACAAACACAGAATTCCAAAAATATATGGTATCAATATATGCATTAAATACAAACCATTGTTTGAAGACAACAACAGTAACATTGGCTAGATACTTGTGACATAAATTAAAATCTATTGCATTTACGTATACCCGCGCCTGACAAACTACCACAAACAATAGCACAATGAATCTAAACCGAACACTATCGGGACCAATGTTTTCATTCGGGACGAGCAGGTTTTCGTATGATACATCTCCAATTGATATAGAAATATATAAATTTGAACCCTGTTTATATTCTGTTACATACAGGTATCGGATTATATAAACGAATATTTAGACATGTTGCATTGTTTATTAAACTAATGGGTTTATTTGTCCGGTTAACAGGTAAAATTAGATACGTTTTCCGTACTGGCAGTCCCGTAAATTCGATTGTAAAAATATTGATAGCTTATATTACATATAACACCGAAGCTATTTTGTATACAGTATATCCTCTGCACATAAAAGCACATATCACAATGTAGTCATTGTGTTTTAACTGATGTGATTTGCGACAAAATGTTAAATAAAATCGCTGTCACTGGTATCAGAATTGTTCTGGTTAACAATAACCCTATTTAAAAACTGACAATATGTTTTCTCTTTATCAAATTGTTGTCCGTTGAGACAACAAAATGTTAAAAGAATCGAGCTGAACATAATTAATGAAATTTGGCAGAAATATAATTAAATGCAAGATCGGTATAAGTGGTAAAAAGTAATTTCCATCCAAATTACTTGACAAAGTAGGCTTTGTGAGACAAATCTTACCTTCGGCATGAAGATGATATCTTCATAATGACTGAGGGATATATATTTATATAACAGTATGATTTAAATCACAGTAGTTCATAAATAAATTAAGCAAGTTATATACATCTAACAATAAACAATAATTGGTCCCAACTAGCCACTTCGAGTATTGGTTGAAAGTAAATGGCCTTTTCACATGCACAAGTACACAGACATCTTTCACACACAGTTATAATAAAACGAACATTTGTAAAAGCTACCTTAGTTCACCTTCAGGTCTAAATAGTGTTTTTTCAAAGTTTCCGAGTCCTGATACACAGTCACCTTAACGTTCATGGGTTGATTAAACTCATTCATAAAATTACTCTTCAGTTACCAATGAACTCCGATCGGATATATTAACCTGACATTCTTTCATCTATTAAATTACATTTACATCCATTTCATGAATTCAATAGTCTCTCCGTAATCTTATAAAAAAACTGTGTCGCACATACAATTGTCTTCAGTTATGATATTTCCTCCATGTATTTAGAACTTAACGGGACTATCCGAAATACAAGGATTTATATTGAATTTCGCATAAAACAATGCTATCATTCGACATATCACAGCGACGAAAAAAAGAAATAAAATGAAATAATGCAGTCTCTCGCCGTAACGAGTTGACGAGAAGGGTTGTCATTGGTAACAATCTTTTCAAGCACATTTGCAGTCTTGAACAACCATATCGGCAAAGTCTGTAAACACTAAATTGTTGTACGCATCTTCGTGGAGGATTGTCAGGGGTTTGAATGACGATGGTATGCAACATGGTGCCGAGAAACGGGAAGGGTCCATTTTATGAAGAGTTGATTTGATCCCTGTAAAAGTGTTTGCCATTTTAAATCGGTCCGGACAAGTTCCTTCGCAGTGAAAAGCTTCATAATCTGTTGGAGCTATTACCCAATTCCAGCCGATGTCACGAAAATTGATTTGAGTCCTAAACCTACAGCATCTGTCCTCTCCATCACCCTGTGTACAATCCCGGCGGCCAGCTTGGCGTTTGACGCGTTTGAGAATCGGGCGTTCCTCTGCATCTAACTTCAGTAGTGGGATGAAATAGTCTGATGAATGTTTCGGTAAATGTACATCTCTACCTTCGTCATAATGGTTATGTAAACGTTTTAGCATTAACGTGTCCTCGGCGAAAGAGACGATTTGTGTGATGTTGTGGGTGTCTGAAGATAGCAATAATCCGTGGTTTGACTGTGGATTATCTATCCAGTTCTGTGTCGCTGCTGATATGTCGAAAGCCTCCCATCCAGATATGGAAACATCAATTGTCTTTGAGGAAATTTGTTTTCCTTTCACTAAATTAAGGTTCTCGTTCCGCTCTACGTTAAACACTTTGATATTCATTAATGACTGTTGTGTTTTATTGGAGGCAGAAGTATTTGTTTGTTTTTTAAATAACTGTAAAGTTGCAGAAAATACAACTAGTTCCCTGTATATGTCCTTCGGGAGCGTTTCTTGAATATTGTAGAACAAAACAGGTCCTTCCAGGTCAGTTGGATTTGATCTCTGTTGTTTGTAGTCACCTGTAACACACAAAGATGAGATAGAGTTATTAGTTAGATACTTATACAATCAAATAGCACAGTATGAATGTACCGTGTGTGCTGTCGATATACCGATAATCCTCACAACTTGTCATCGCAAACATTACATAAAGGTGTTGTTTTGTTCGATGAAACTGATTCAATGTTAAGCTTAATCAGTTTGTTGAGAAATACTTAATGAGCAAAATGTGAAAGACTTCTTATCCAATCATAAGTCGTTGCAATCATGATAACAATAGTGTATGACTCGTTGGTGTCTTTATTCACGGCAGAAATACCTGTGATTAAATCTCAGTTTCTTTATCAATATCACTATTTCCCTATGACCGGACGCAAAGATATCTACATAAGAAGTTAAAGAAGATGATAGACTCATTTTGATATGAATTATTTCATATCTATAAGGTGCTCTTTATTTCTTAGGGACATCATTAACCTATATCCTAGTCAAATCATTAACATATTACATACATAATACACTAATAAAAGGTGGTTTTTTTCATTTAAATTTTATATTCATTAATATTTAACGTCAAATATTCTTGTTTATAGCACAACGTTGACTGTATCCCGTTTTATAAAATAATTGAGATCTTCTTTTTTAATACAGATTTTTTTTACCTTAAATAGGGCTTTATCAGCTTGATTGAAGACGCATATCGGCAAAGTATTTCTATAGCATTCCACCACAATCCTGCTAAAATTTAGACCTAGATCCGTTCTACTGATCTCATCTCGGCCATTGAATGATAAGATTAAGAGCCTATATATGTCTATCAACAGACAAAATATATTCCTATAATCTCTGTCCTTAGTTACAACAGTTTCTGTGATCCGCACGAAGTTAGCTTACACTCATGTAAGTTATGTATTTATATAAATATATACGCATACATAGAAAAGCGGATAAATGTTAACAAGACATGATAAATGATAACTGGTGAATGGTGAACTGTACACAGATGTATGTCTCTCCTTAGAATCGGATTTCTATCCATTTATAGGACCGAGGTTTGACACCTAGGTAAACCATCAACATAATTGGATAGGTTACTGTAGCACAAACAAAACGTTCGTTGTTAAAGTATTATAGGTTTTTGTCTGGCAACACTCTTTCTATGCTCGCTCTTTGTATCACTATAAAGCAACTGAGTAAACCGTATGCGCTGACCAATATTATAAATGTGATGAGTTATTTAACCTTAAATACCCCTTTTTTTGTTTTCTGTTTGCATCTAGCAACCGGAGGAAAACGTCCTCCGTCTAGCTTGCTTAAGTGGTCGGTATTTAGCCGTTATTTCAATTACCCGTGTTTGTATAAAACGTTCTATTTATAGCTGAGGTATATTCAATGTTTACAACACATCAATGATCGATAGACCTAAAACTTGTTAATATGTTTTCACTGTTAGCTCAGGTGAAGGTAGGGAGAATTAAAGAACCTTTGAGAATCAGTAGGCAACACTCCACACACACACAGGTCACGTATACAGGGCGAAAATCGCTGATACAAACATTACAGGAAATATTTTTATCAATATCAAATCAAATATTTTTTTCCCAGTATTATTTCAACTTTACTCTTTTGTTGTAAGAGTTGCGTTTTCATCAATTAAAAATCAAAACAAGATCTGTTGGGTGCAAATATATATATCAAGAGGTTAACTTTTTAGTTTGATAATTAGGCTACGCTTAAATTGATAAACATTAATAAATGTTTTCACTATTTTTTATTATTTAGACTATTATGACATAATTACAATGTAGACCTGCAAGCGAATGTTTTTGAAACTGTTTTATCAATGAGATTCCCATAGAAGCGGCTGACAAACGTTCATAGTCGACATTCTTGATAGTGATCTAAAATAGAGAGTTAGTGAACCCATTATCCATTGAACAACAATGTCGTGAGTCAATCGAAGAGAATACGTGGGGAAATTCTTTATCATGAACCTTTAACATGTTTTACGTTTAAAGGCTATATTTTATAACTTTAATGGTAGGCCATCGTTTTTTGTCACACTGTTAATACAACAGCCAATGAACTAATGCAATCTGTATAAATTCATTCAGCATTATGTATCAATATGACGGGACACCTGCCTCTGGAATGCTTCCTATATTTTATTAGGAAATAAACAGATGGGATTATCCATAGCTATTCCCGAGATTGTACGCCGGACGGACGACTTACCACGCACGACTGATTAATGGAAAGTGAACTTAAGCGACTGTACTGAGATTCATTTAAAAAGAGATTAGAGCCATAAGACCACTCGCTTCTCGATGGCATCCCGTCCTATTAATATAAAATGATAAGTCAAAGTTAAATATATGTATATATATGGAGATTAAAGTGGTTTTGTGGCGGGTCCACGTGTTGACAAGGTTTTCGCGCGTGGAATGGATATGCTCGAATTCACTCAGTATTCTACGTTCATATTTGTGTATAAAGTCTTGCCAGGTAACTAGCGATTAAAATTCACTTTAAACGCAGGCATGCATTTACAAATGAAGGCTAGGCCGTATTATCTACACCTATATGACATTCTGGAGCGATAAGCGACGTCATGCGCATATCACAAATGTTTGAAATAGTTCAACCACTAATAAATCCTTATTAATAATGATTGACTTTCCAATATACGTCCAGTTATATGTCCTCCATAATACATAGAGATTCAGACATAATGCTATAAGTAACGCCTGCGCTGCAAATTTGTTCGAAAATTTACATATGTGTTCAGATTAACGAAATATAGCGTCTGCACGGTGTACGGCAGGTGCAAACTAGCATTCTTACACCTGTGTAGGTCGGCGGTTGAGACTAAGGATAGCGTTTTCACTGAGATTCGTGTGCACTTGTGTTGACAATGTTATGCAATGGTAATGCTTTTATAGAAGAGAGGTAATGCGGTATCCGGGATGTCTTCAGCATACGTTAAACCTCTTGATAAAACTATAATACTTTTAAACAAGTTTATAACAAGACGATTGAAGGATGTAATTTGAAAGTAGGAACTAAAGTAGTAAAACATAAGCAAGGTGCCTCAAAATCTACGTGATCGATCCAAGTGAAAGGAAAGATACTCGCTCTTCGGCTAAAAATGAAGCAATATTGCCGATTAAGCAAAGATTTTATAATATATATTACTGAATGAGATCCCATATGCATTGATCCGTACTGGTGCATATCCTGCTAGGCTTACTAGGCTAGAGATGGTATCTGTAACCCTATATCGTTATGATGCATTTCCATCATAATCACCTCGGTTGAATTGAATATGGAATGCTTTCATCATGTTATGTCTATATAATTTCCCCTCTCAGACTATTGTTATGGCTGTCAAGAATCATGAACTCTTGTTTGAGTACTTCTTCGTTTTATTGCCACATCATCCCGTGTTTAGACTTCAAGCCGAACAACAATTTATTCTTGCACAGTAAAAAGCACTAAATCGGTTGAATATGTCAACAGTACTATAATTTTATAACCTAATAAGTGTACGAAAGAAATCGCACTCGTACGGAGCAACGCTGAAGGATAAAATATTTGGATTATTTACCAATACTCCAGTCCAGATCGACAGCAATACAATATAATATTGCTCTGTCTGTTGTACATATCAGCTGCTCACATACTAATTAAGTAGAAAGTGAAAGTACAAAATGATAGTAAATTCTACCTTACCTTTATAAGTTCGCCGTACTCGCTTCGATTCTGACTCCATTTCTTCTTTGTCAGGTATGTGCTGCATATCGTTTTTACTTCGGAGATAATCCCTGAATTCACGTATTTTTTGCCGTTTGGTTTCTATACTATGTGTTACATTTGAGACATTTGATGGCAAGGAATCCCCTATCTGTTCCAATATACTTTGTTTAAACGCTTCGATCCGAAGGTTTGATATGTCTATTTCTTTCTCAGCTTCGGATACCTGTTGGGAAGCTGACAATGCTGGTTTGCAGTCAACAATAGTTAAGTGTAAAGCTACGAGCAGGACCGTTAAAACCACGGTTCTACTTACAACATATAATATCATAGCGTGTCACAACAAAATTCTGTTAGTATCTTTCTCCTTACAGAAGGTTTAGATGTCTTCAGTAATCTGCGGCAGTACCTGTTAATTCCCACTGTGTATAGTTGTCTTCTGTTCATAATAAATAGCTTGTGAAAAGCCAAAAACTAGATCGCAAACTCCGAATTAGAACTCCACCGTATATGTATTACAGTGCTGAGTGAACTCAAATGATTATATATATAAGGGGGTGTGTACGCCTGAACTGTCACGGCATCAGATGCCTGGAAGCCCCGCCCATGAACAGTGAATGAGAACCTTCACGTACATGTGCTTCTGTTTATGTTACACGTAAAGCCATACCTAACTTAGGCGTATTCGTCTTCTGTGTATTCATTGGCTATGACGTTACACTCATTCACAAAAACTCGTCGGCGAAGCAACACGAGGAATGTGTCGTAGCTATGTATATATAGCGCTACTGTTGTAGCCGGCACTTGTTTTGACAGCGTTTGATGAATGCACACACACATATCACACAGTGACACTATGGAACATTTGTACCGGAGGTTAGCATTGTGTAGAGTTAATCTAATGGTTGGAAATTAAAACAATATCTTGACGGTGTTGTTAGAATAACACGTAAACCTTATCGTTGTTTTAACAAACTAATCTGAAACTATCTATAGATAAAACCACCAAATTAACTATTTATAACTTTACAAAATAACAAAATATCGCAATGATCATTAAATGTGTGACAGTTAACGCTTGGATAGGAATTATTTATGGCCCTGAATTAAAGGGTGTGTGTGTCATCTAAGAAACCTTTAAATGAGACCACTCAATTAACTGTTTAATTAGTCAATAGATATATCGTCAATGGACAAACATCTTTACAAAATGTACACACACTTTGTATTTGTTCGTAGGTTAGAATTATATACAACCTTTATGTTATGCACCCACTCCACTTGCGTCGGAAAACACTAGTTTTAGTTGTTACATATGTATCTACTCTTCTGTTAATTTAATATACTTATAAAAAATACGAGGAATCCATTGGTACAGAAAGGATAATGTAGAATATTTATAGTATGTTTGATAGGAGTTAAGATGCCCTGTTCTCTCGGCATAGAATACATAATAGAATAAACATGCAAAAGTATGCTAAGTATAAATTACTTAATAAGACGGTGACAAATGTCAAAAGGAGAAATACTTACATTACTCCTAACCGGCATCCTAGATTATGAACCCGTGACCAAACCTACATCAGACAATTTCGCACGTAAACAATAGGTCATTTATTGGTATCGGTGCTACTGAGTTTAAATGAGGATGGGTTACTTACTACACCGCCAGCTAAATGTAATACATGCGACTATAAATAGAAATGAGGAACCCTCATAAGCAAGTACATATCGCCCGATGTATACCTAATGTTTATCTAGCCGTCTGGCTATTGTGTTAAGGTAAACACTAACGCAGGCTTGTGTAGATAATAAAGGCCCTTAACTTTTAATAATAGTGTTATAAAATATGTGTATAAGAGAAGAAATTAACATCAAAATAAATGTTCAAAAGTCATACATAGCGACCGATGTTCTTTGACACTCCCGGTGAAGATCCATTGGTCATATAAAGTGTTCATTTAAAGCAGCAAAACGTTGTATACAAGCATTTAACTGATGTAAGACAAACTGCATGTTTCACGTTATTTAAAAAAAGCAACAAATCAAATGACGAGGAAACAAGCTGATTTAGTATCCAGAAATAAGTAGTTATAACCCTAAGATTAAGATGAACCGTGTGTACATTCGTGTATTTTCTCTTCCAAAACCAAAGGTAGTTGGAAGGTTATCGAATTGCTGATACAAATACATACTTGCACAATTCTCCTTCGTCATATTTTTTTGCAAGCACCGTTTCTATGTTTTTTCAATGAATCAATGCGTATATCTCTGTATGAGTTATGTGAACAACTATGAAGAAGCGTCAACAGAAGCAATATTATGCTTACGAAGATGTCGACCACCATAAACCATGAAGATACTGCGCAAGACTGTTTGAATGCGCGATCGACTCCTTCCACTATTTTCCCCGGAGATCTCTCCCTTGAACTTTAAGTGATCGGAAGTATTAATAGTTTATATATTTTAGCTAACACACTAACGTATATTTGGATGAACATACGTATAACATAGCATCCAGTGCTTATACACTCTAACAAATGCTTTTGATGCTAGAATGGACAGATATGTAGATTAACTTTAAAGTCTTGTACAAAATATACACGACAGATAAGGAATTATGTAGTGTACAGTTTACCCTGTCTGGTTCTACAAGTTAATACAACCTGTTGTTTCAATACCCCAGACACAAGTTTTATAACTGAAAAAATGCGTCCTCATCCGGACCAGTACTTCGTATGATAATAAAATGTTATCTCTCTCGGTTTTTTTCTCTCTAACCGATCCCTCTCCCTGCATTTGACTGTCATTTAAATTCCAAATAATACATATCGTAAGGAGAAATATAACACGACTTATGACAATACAGACGGTACTACCGATAAGGCACTTTCTGTGAAGACAGGAGCCGTCTATGAAGTTAAAAGGTCGTATAAGGAGGAAGGGTTGTTAACCAGTTAAGTGGGGAAAAGACTTGTTGATGAAGTGTGATTGTTTGTTTGAACTTAACGGCACATCGACAAATATGGTCATTTAATGGGGCAACCCTTTGAACGCATCGAAATTTGATTAATATAAAACGTCGTATAACTTATAAAATCAACAGCAGGATAGGCTTAGCGAGTTAAAATGTTACAATAGGGAAAACTTAGTTAAACAGATATTGCAATGATTGAAATGGATGGAGATCAATATGAATGTCGTAAAAAAGTCATGTAGGAAAATGGAATCAGAGGTTATAAAACAATGCCTTTCATATAGTTGAATAATGTCACCAAGTCTAAAGAAGTGAAAAGGGTTTGTGAAGTACGTACAGGAGTTGAGTTCTCTTTGACGTTGACGGATTGTCTTCAACGTTGAAATAAGTGTTGTTTATGAAGTTCGTGGATTCCCTACGACATGACGGGGTTGTCTGTTGAGATAGGTGTTGCTTATGAAGTCCATGGTTTTCTGTGAGGATAGGAGTTATCTTGTAAGGTTCATGAATGTTTATGCCCCCGCCATAAAATGGAGGGGGGGGGGGGGGGGGGANGTAAACACTTAGCAACTTCATTCTTTGACATATTTTGGTCAAACTTTATACAAAGGTCAAGTATGAGTATACTTCGGACATTGTTGTGTGTCAGGGTTTCAAGGTCAAGGCGAAGATCACTGTTGCTATATATAGAAAATAATCAACTGATTCAATTTAAAGACTTAGCAAATTCATTCTTTTACGGATTTTGGTCAACTTCATACAAAGGTCAAATATGTGTATACCTCTGACATACTTGTGTTTCAGGGTTCCAAGGTCAAGGCCAATGTCACTGTTGCTATATATAGAAAATCATCAACTTCAATTAAAACACTTAGCAACTTCTTTCTTTCATGGATTTTGGTCAAACTTTATGCAAAGGTCAAGTATGAGTATACTTCGGACATTGGTGTGTTTCAGGGTTCCAAGGTAGCCAAGGTCACTGTTGCTATATATAGAAAATCATCAACTGATTCAATTTAAACACTTAGCAACTTCATTCTTTCATGGATTTTGGTCAAACTTTATACAAAGGTCAAATATGGGTATACCTCTGGCATCCTTGTGTTTCAGGATGGTAATAACATACAGAAAAAACATATGAATATTAAAATCAACTTTAAGTGTAGTACCTTGTGTGTGTGCATGTTTTTAACATACATCATCGTTAAAATAGCTAGTGATTACCACAATGATTACTATAATTTTGATAAGGTAACAGCTTTTGGAATTGATAGTTTCTTGTTAGGCTCACTGAAGTGTCTTTTGCTATCATGTCGAACTTTATCATCCCCAAACCATGTCATCTGGGAACCAAATACCCATAACTGCCTTCCGCTGCTTACATCATTGTTCATTGTTTCCATCGCAAAGAGTAGTGTCCGCGTTGGATAAAAAGGCACTATTCCTCCTCGCGACAATAGTACTTGACCATATTGTCCTCGAAAGAAAGCACTTGTGGATTTTATAATAAACCCTCTCAGGGATAAGGATACCACACATATGGTATATAATGGTCCATACACCAGGAGCGAACAGGGGACAAACCATGTTTAAGCCGTCGTCGCACCCTATGTTACGTTGTTGCGAAAAAGTCGATGGGTATGATCGTTGCAGAATATTCGTGTAGTTGTCTTACTTTAATCTAAGGATTAAGTTCATTGTGTGCTTACAATCACATGATTGGTAGTAATTAGACTAGGGTATAGATTTAGCATAGCATATACTTACATTTACAATCACGTCAGAGGTATTAATGAGGCTAAGTATAGATTTAGCATATCACATACTTACATTTACAATCACGTCAGAGGTATTAATGAGACTAAGTATAGATTTAGCATATCACATACTTACATTTACAATCACTCAGAGGTATTAATGAGACTAAGTATAGATTTGGCATATCATATACTTACATTTACAATCACGTCAGAGGTATTAATAAGACTAAGCATAGATTTAGCATATCATATACTTACATTTACAATCACGTCAGAGGTATTAATGAGTATACCTATATCAAGTGAGTGTTACCTGGTAAAATGGAAACGTAATCACATGATATGGTAACGTACGTAGGCGATACATGTGTAAGAAAGAGATATGTCCAACAGACTGACATAAAATGTACACTTCCTGGCAGCCTAGTGTGGTCAATTTCTAATATGAGAGTATAGATTGTGGGACCAGATTATAGTATTGCCTTGTTATTGTTGTATTATCATTGGATGTTTAACTGTTGTTTACTGGTGCTGTAACATCATTTCGAGGTTATATTGTTGTATTATTCGTGAATGTTTTAACTGTAGTTAACTGGTGCTGTAGCTTCATTTCGAGGTTATATTGTTGTATTATCCTTGGATGTTTTAACTGTTGTTTACTGGTGCTGTAGCATCATTTCGAGGTTATATTGTTGTGTTGTCCTTGGATGTTTTAACTGTTGTTTACTGGTGCTGTAACATCATTTCGAGGTTATATTGTTGTATTATTCTTGGATGTTTTAACTGTTGTTTACTGGTGCTGTAACATCATTTCGAGGTTATATTGTTGTATTATCCATGGATGTTTTAACTGTTGTTTACTGGTGCTGTAACATCATTTCGAGGTTATATTGTCGTATTATCCT